CTACCAATTATTATCAAGCCCACCCTACACAGTCGAATTTTGAGAGAATTAACTAAATTAAACTAAATTAATAAGCAAGCGAAAACAAGAAAGCAATTTAAAACGAAGATTTAATCAAAGTAAACAAGCCTAGGATTTTATTTTTCCCCCTATGTGATTATTACTCTCCCAATTCCTTCAATTATGCAAGCAATTAACCCGGATTATTAACCTGAGATGCTAAAATAATCATAACCCGCTTCCGCGTGTATTACGATTCTAATACTCTAGATTCAATTACTATATTCCTATGCAATTAATTCTAGAACACATCATTAAGCACAAATCTCAATAATGGCTACCTAAGAGATTAACTATATTCCTATGTTAATACCACAAAGGCTCTTCTACCACAGTTCTAATTATTAACCCGATCTTCCGATTCATGCGATTAACAATAACATAAAAGCACATAAGTTGATCAAGTTCATGCACTTAATAAAACAAGTACAAGAAATAATCCGGAATTAAAACTTGCATAAAATCATAGAAAATGGTTCATAAATCCCACATAGGGTTCCAAATAAAATCCTAAAAATAAGAAAACTAGCTACTCATGATTAAAGGAAAAACGCAAATAAAATAAGTCATAAACGATAAATCTATGCTTAGAGTCTTCGAATTCTTCGTCTTCGTTATTGCTTTGTTGCTCTCCAAATTACGTAAAAAGATCCCTAATTGTGTGCTTGGCTTGGTCTTATATAGGGTGAAGAACTTGGGGAAGAAGGCAGTTTCCTTGTACAATTAAAATCCCTTTACAGCGCAACTTCGGAGTCTCGGACGGGGGTCCCACAATTTGCACTAAAACTGGGACGGGGGTCCCAGCTTTAAATCTTCAGAATTTTGATATTTTCACTTTTGACCCATAGTTTTGCCAAAATTGCAGTTTTGACCCCATACTTTTCCAATTCTTCAATTTGTACCTAAAATACAATAAATCAACTTTTTAAGCACCAATTATCGTTAAAACACACCAAAAGCTCAAATAAAAAGGTACGATAAAGTGTAAAAATATACACTTAACAGTTGTGTACAAAATTAGGAATGAATTTAGTAAAAAAAGATGAATTTTAATAGGGTAAATTACAATTACCTCCCTGAGGTATGGTTAAATTACAAAAATTCTCCTCATGTTTGGGTAATTACAACTATCCCTCAACTATAAAATTTAGTGGAATCTTCTAGATTATATAGAATATTATAACTTTTGTACCAGTTGTATCCCATTCGAACTCCACATTTTGAAGCAAGATGATCATAATATGTGTTTTTTGGCTTGTATATATCAGATTGTGATGCATCAGAAACTGTATTTTTACACAAAAACGAATACAAATTAGAGCACATTCCACGAAATCCAGATGATTATGTTGAATTTGACATCATAATTGAGAGGGTAAATGTAATTATCTAAACAAGAGAGATTTTTTTCGTAAATTGACTATACCTCAAGGGGTTGGTTGCAATTTACCCATTTTAATATGCTGGTTTTGGCTTTTGTGGATTTGTCTACTTTGTTGGAGCGTATATACACCACTCAAGTTGTTGTTTTTACATTTGTTTTTTTTGAACAGGAAAAACAAGCGTTCTTTAGATAAAGAGCTTACAACTGTTTATAAGCGGAAAACCATCGTTACAAAAGCAATTTAAATGAATATTACGAAGCGGAATTGAGCCAGACCAATCAGAACTAAGAGCCCAAGAGGCAAGATTGTGGACTGCAAAGTTTGCGTTGCGAGAGATATATTTGAACCTCCATTTCGGTCAGAGCACCTAATACTTTTTAATCTCGATATCGAATAAAAAGAATTTAGCTAAAACTGAGAATTCATGCGTTGGGCATAAGTAATTTTACATTAAATTAAAAAAAAAAATAAGTATATGAATAAATGTTTACTTTGCCAATGTTGGGGCCTTTGGAGAAAGATCTATTGGGCTTTTCATATAGTTCACACCCAATGTTGTTGGATTAGGCTAAACCTTTGCCCAAAGCGTTCATATGCTAATCCTAATAATACAGTCGAGTTTTTATCATATTATATAATTTTATCTTGACTAATCCTAATTCGACAAAGACCTCAACGTATTAATAAGCAACCTTTAATAATCATATTATGCTAATCACAACTAATACAAAGCCTAAAGTCTATATTAATATACAAAGTTTGGTTGCCTATGTTGAGAACTAGTATAAGTTCGTTACATGATCATACAATTCAAACCTAATATTTCTTTTTTCTTTTTTCTTTTCTAAAATAACCACATGCAGCACACGTGTGGGGCTAATTAACAGATAGTTGTACACTAATAAAAAAGAAAAGAAGAAAAGTTCACAGAAATAAGAGAGTGAAAAAAAGATTTTGGAGGACCACAATTGCAAGTGGTCTGACAAATAATGAAGAAATTTTTATTGTGTTAGAGGCCCCTGCATTTGAAACTTTATACATCTCCTTGTTTTTTATTATTATTATCTAAATAATAGGAATTAATAATTGGTTCGATTGTCGAAATTCAAATTGATTGAAGAAAAGTTGAAGCCCGCAATTTAATGTTAGTACTATTCGATAAAACTAGTAGCTACTAAATATAAGGTTGGGCATGGATCGAATTGGCAATTATCGGTCAATTACTAACTCGATCCAATCACCTAATTTTGTTGGTGATATGCTAACTGCGTCAGCCCAATGAACCTATAATTCCTTAATATATTGGGGGCACGAGCCCAACTTTGAAACCCAATACAACAAATGTCTTATCACCTTCAGATAAGGATTGGGTCCGGCAATCTCAGTTAATTAACTTCAGCCCAAACAACGAGGTATAAATAAATGTTTTAATTCATTTGTTAAGCTACGTTCTATTATTCGAACAATACAACCATTCGTATTCTCTCAACTGTTTCTACTATCCGCACGTCTGACTTGAGCGTCGAAGGGGTTTTCACCGGATCAACATCCGGCTTAGTTTGCGTGTTCTCTGATCGCAGGTATCTCAAGGTCATCAAGCTCATGAGTCGGTGATCTACTTTACTCTTCCAGCTCAACCTACCTCAACTATTACAAGTGATTTATCTCTAGCATCATCAGTTAGATATTGAAAACTATTACCGACCGGACTGTCATGGGTCGTCGAATAATGGTATAAGTAGGTTGGTTGGTATTATCGACCATCTTTTTATTAGTTTACTTATTTTTTACAATAATTAGATTTTTTAAAATAAAATTCAAAAGATAATAAAAAATTTGGAAAAACTTATATTGCAAAAATCTTAACTTTAAACTTAAGAGTTTTTTTTTACTAAATTTTATAAACTTGTGTTTTCAGTTTTTGAGTTTTGATAGTTTTAACTTTAAGTAAAAGAAAAAATAATGAAATATTCATAATAAACTTTTTTTATTAAAAAAATTAGTTGAACGATATTACCCGACCAACCGATTTTTGAGTTAACCGAAAACCACCGACCGGTCGCATTTATTCATGGACCGGTTAAAATTACCGGCCCGACTATATGAATTTGTTAACTATCGGTTATCAACCAAGAAAAGTGGGTCGGGTGGCCGATAAAACCGACGACCCATGCTCAACCCTAACTCTATCTCTACATTAATGCAACTGTGAGAAATCTACTACTTAGTATTTACTAATTAACTAATCTAATTAGTTAATCAATAGATAACTAAAACAAATCAATTTAATTAATTTAGATTAATTGGATAGATCCACAAAAACTTTAGGTTAGCACATGATCCATTCCATTACTACAAGTGATAATGGGACCATTTTATTTTTATTTATGAAAGGAAAAAAAAGTGAGCATGATTTTGACTTGTGCCCCTTTTCTTCTTTTCAGAAACAATTGCAGCAGGGGCTTGTGGTGTTGGTCGTTATCATTTCTGCCATTTTCATCAATTTAGCTAATTTAAATAATTAATAATTAAAATATATGTTTTCTGTTGTTATTATAACAATTATTCTTTTTTACTATATGGTTGTGCCTTTATATTTAATTTGGTTATATAAGTGTTAGCTAATTGGATGAGTGGCTAATTTATACATTCATCTTATATAAAGAAATGGGTGCAATGTATTATGCATGCATTCCATTTTTCGTATACAGAGAACCAACATGAAATATTTAATAAATAAAAAAAGTTGGTGTTTTTTATAAGATATTGGAACTCCATTTTAAATTCAATTACTTGTAAAAATAATTAAATATGTATAAATGTTGGAGATATAATTAGTCAAATGATTCACCCACTAACCATTTAAACCTTTTAGATAAAGTAAACATTCAACAATATATTGTTAAGTTACTCAAGCAATATGTGCGAAATTGGACTTATCGAAATTAATACTTTTAAATTTTTTATTTTTATTTTTAAATAGAGAACTAATACCAATTATGTTCAATTTTTTTTTTGAAAAGATCAATATAATTCATAATTTTGCAAATTGAAATGAAATTTTTAAAAATCTGAATTTTTTGGATTGGAATTGGTGGGATTTGAGATTTTCAAATTTATGGTCACCTATATAAAATACATAACAATATTGATATTATTAGTATTACTCATTCTAAAATCAGACAATTTTGAATTGGAATCGACGAAATTTAGAAATTTTGTTCAAATTTTCATAATCTTTTAAATTAATAAAATTCATAAGATACAAACAATAATACTCCACGCGATTCAAATTAAACATTATATAAAACTGCGTACACGTACTAAATATAATAAATATGTAATTAATTTTAGGGGAAAAAATATAATATAACTTAAAGAAAATTAAAACAAATATTTGTAGAGAGATAATGAAAACAAAATTCCTCCAAATTCATAGTTAATTTGAAACAGATATATGCAATATGCAATCTAGTCAAAGTATTTAGTTACATCCCATATGTTTTGAAAACCATTAATTAAAATCTTTCCATAATATAATCTCAAATAAATAAAAATTAATTAATTAATTAATTAATTCAGTCCACCCCTTTTCTTCTCTCCTCGTATCTGTTCAGTGTTAGACGACTGCCATATACTCTTCTTCTGCTGCACAGATCTGTTGATCACCACCTTCAAAATTCCCCTGAGATTCCTTCTCCGTTCACTTTTTTTCTTCTGATCCCCCCACGGCAGCAAACCCTCGGCCTCATCTCAGCCGTCAATTGGCGCCGTTAAAATTACGGTTTTACCCCTCCCCCTCGTCGCATTTCATTCTCGCCGCCCGCCGTCGCTCTGCCGCCTCCCCACTCCGAAAACCTGTTGAGGAATTGAAGTTTAGCGGTTAATTGGATACTCACGGAGTTGCATTTTTTCGTGGCGTGGTTTTTTGTTTCCCCCCCTCTTTTGCTTGCTATGTGCGATGATGTAGTGGATTGGGAACGAAGAGTATTCGGTGGGCGAGGATGGTGATTGGGGGTTTCCGATTTAGGGCTTGTTTGGGAAAGTGTGAATTCGTTTTCTGATGTCGCGGAACGGCGATAGGATGAGCAACCCTGACGTCAGCAGAGCGGGTGGGCCAGTCGAGAGAGACATCGAGCAGGTTAATAAATTCTTCAGTTTTTGGATACATGTTGACTTTGCAGTCCTGGAATTGAGCTGTGGTCAGTTAATTAGTGTTGGTATTCAGTGATTTTGTGATTAATTTTTCATTCTGTCCGGTTAAACCTGATTTGAGTGAATTTTTTGATCATTACTCGTTTGCTAATGGATTTTTGTAGGGGATATGTGTTTAGAAAGTTTCTGATAGTAGAGCATGCATTTCCTTAAAAGTGGGAGCTACTTTACCTTTTTATTAAAGATCATGACACTTATAATGCCACGGTTTAGATATAGCGATAACCTAGCTTTTTCCGAGAGCTCACCATTAACATTTTGGTACATAGTTTCAAATGTATTGCTCCCCCCCCCCCCCCCCGCAACAAAATGCTTTTTGATTATTCGAATACCTAAATGGTATGTTCATAAGCGAAACTATTTTTTTTCCCCACAGCTCATTATTAACATTTCGACACACAGCACTAGTAATGAGTGAGGTAACGGAGTATAGGAAAAATAGTGGCATGATTTTGTTGGTATGTTGGAACTGGTGATTGGTTTGATTAACTAATTTTGTTCTAAATCGATTACCAGGTCTGTGATGTAATTGTGAGTATGTGACATTGTCAAATCACTTTCTAGAGGAAGAAATATTGGAAGTTACAGACAGATTTCAAAGTTACTTGAAAGCCTTACTTACTACCTCTAAGAATCTTGTGATGAGATTCAACACTATCTAAAATGCTGTGCTGAATCTTGGATATATTTTCATGAACATTTTCTATAAGATTTTTGCTCAGATTACTTCGCAGTTTACCTAGTTCTTTTAAGGTTTCCAATTAGATGAGTTTATACCATTTTGGATTCCCATATGCTCCTCGGCCTTTTGCTGCTGCAGTTTTCCATGTCCTATTTATTTCAAGCATTTATAATTCTGATAACTAGGTCGAAGCTTTTAAATGACGACTTATTCAATGTCCCACTGCAAATATAAAATATTTATTAATCAATATGCTTAAACTATAATTAGTTATGGACTCGTGATGAAAAATCATGTTATATTTTCATACGCTGAAAGTCTGGTCATTAATTCGTCACAATCTTGGCAACTAGTAATAATATTTTTTATGAGCCCTATTTGTCGCACGAAGGAGCTGCGCATTGCCGGGAACTGAATATTTGCCTTACATGTGCCCATTGTGTAGTCTACGTACGGATTCATCTCAAAGCCTCCCACCCCCACCCCCCCAATCTTCTCCTGACTTGGCAGCAGGACAGTGTTTTAGTGAATGTTTATCCTGCATTCATTTTGACCTGGTTATTTATTATACATTTCCCTGGCATTTATTAACCTTTAATTTTTTTTGGGTAAATTGCTTTCTATTTGGTTTGTTTCTTTGCAAAGCACGCTGGCTGTGCATAATATAGGTATTGGTTGACTTTTACAACAGGCTATTACTGCTCTTAAGAAAGGTGCACACTTACTCAAGTATGGAAGAAGAGGAAAGCCTAAATTTTGTCCGTTCCGCCTGGCAAATGTAAGTCTCATAATATTTCAGATGTCTGCAGTTTTGGGGTCTTAGTTGCTATGCTTTGTCCTGTAAAATGTGTTTGAGATGAAGTGCATCTTCTTCAGTCATTGTTTTTGTTCTGAAGTGAACATGAATTATATAAAGCCTTTTGTTCTTGGTAATATCTGATTGCACATTTCATATACTCTGCTAGTGCAGAGTGTGAACATAAACAGTTATCTGCTAAATGGTTCAGCAATTGGTAGAGATATTTATTTGTTTTCCCAGATGATAGCATAAAAAAAGTGAAATAAAAAGCTTTCATGGCGATAAATTTCTCTACGAATTTGCTATCAGTTATAGCTTAAAGTGTTACGTACAGATTACTGAAGCTGTGCCCATGGTTGCAATAAGTTTATAATCTTCTATAGGGTTTTTTAAATATTTCCCGTGATTCTCCAGGCCTTAAATCTGTGACACTTGATCTCGATTTCTGTTCGTGCTTTCTTTTTGTGGGTTCACCCATGGTTCCAATAATTTTGCAAACTTTCATAGGATTTTTTTAACTATTTTCCGTGATTCTCCCGGCCTTATATTTGTGATACCTGATCTCGATGTCTGTTCGTGCTTTCTTTTTGTGGGTTCATCAGCTAATCCCAGCCAAATTCATATATCACCCTGGAAGATGACAAACAGTATGTCTTATGCCAGTGATTGACATTGGATACTTTGGGATAAGGTTTGATCGAGTTAATAGCTAGTTTGCCCAAACATTAGAGAAAAGAAAAAAGAGGAAAGGGTCAAATTTGACCATCATACATCCTATCCTGCATCTATTTGATTCTGTCGGTCCAGTTTCTTAGAAGACGTCCAATCACTTCTATTGCATTTTTCATGAATATCTTTCTATTTCCTGGCTGAAGATGCAATTCCAGTACAAATTTCAAAATTGTGAAAGAGTGAAAGTACATTTCAGTAGTTCATATATTTTCCGATTCTGGATAGAATTGTGACTCTTAAATAACTTAATTAGCTATTTGTCTGTTTGTTATTAGAGATAAATTTCTGTTTCTTTCTCTCATATAAAAGCTTGACACCACAATGTAAACGTCTAATTGTTGGATGTACTTGATTTCAGGATGAATCAGTTCTGATATGGTTCTCTGGTAAAGAAGAGAAACACCTTAAACTTAGTCATGTATCCAGGATTGTATCTGGTCAGCGGACTGTAAGTTTCTCATATTCTCCAGTAATACTTTATGCTGATTGTCGAAAAAATGTTAATCTTGCTGTCATCAACATATTATTGATGTTATATACTCATGCACACCTTTTCCTAACTCATAGTTTTGGTGGACCAACTAGTATCCTGATAGATAACAACAAATTGGAAATTTACGAAAAATACTCGTAGGCTGAGTGAGAACTTGGCCATTTTCACTTGGATTCCATAGAAACTTTCTCCTAAATTTTCAAATATGTAAACACGCATGTCGCGAAAATGTCAAGAAAAATACACTAAGACTAGTGCTGCTCTGCCAAGTGGAGGATCTTTAGGACTAGGTTTACCACAATCATGTCGGGTTCCACTTGAATCCCGGTTGACTGTTTGAAAGATGAAATGATGGGTATGACATTACATTTTAGTGTAGATGTCTGTTAAGAAAGAACATATCCAATTAAATTCTTTGTTCTCAAATTTTATGAGACTTAATATATACTTCTGTTAACTTTTGGTTATCCAGCGTGTTCATGTCATTCTACTTATTTTCTGTTACAGCCAATTTTTCAAAGGTATCCACGACCTGAGAAGGAATACCAGTCCTTTTCTCTTATATATAATGACCGGTCACTTGATTTGGTAAGAATTCATTTCTTATCTCCGAATTTCTTGAGAAACAACTATTTGGTCTTTGTTTGATCTGCTGCATTGTTCAAATTGATAGTTGATGTCCTTTTCTTTTTTGTAGATATGCAAGGACAAGGAAGAAGCAGAGGTATGGTTTAGTGGGCTTAAGGCATTGATTTCTCGTGGGCATCAGCGTAAGTGGAGAACAGAAACAAGGAGTGATGGAATTTCATCTGGAGCTAATAGTCCTAGAGCATACACCAGAAGAAGTTCTCCACTGAATTCTCCATTTGGAAGTGATAGCTTGCAGAAGGTGAACTACTTTTGTTTTTCATCCATCCACATCCAGAGCCATGCGTTTTCTTTTTTTCAGAAGTGTGAACTGTAATTATTTATAATATATAATTTTAATCTTGAAAATGTTTGTATAAATCTCATGTCACCTGATCAGGATGGTGCTCAGGATGGTGCTGGTCAGCTTCGCCTGCATAGTCCTTATGACAGTCCTCCTAAAAATGGTGTAGATAAGGCATTTTCAGATGTTGTACTATATGCTGTGCCACCTAAGGTTTTCTTCCCTTCAGATTCTGCTAGTGCTTCTGTACATTCCATTTCATCTGGAGGTTCAGATGGCATGCATGGTCACATGAAGGGAATGGGAGTGGATGCCTTCAGAGTAAGCCTATCCAGTGCTGTAAGCTCATCGAGTCAAGGTTCTGGTCACGATGATGGTGATGCCCTGGGTGATGTTTTCATGTGGGGAGAAGGAACAGGTGATGGCACTGTCGGTGGTGGACTGCAGAGAGTGGGGAGTAGTTTAGGCGTCAAAATGGATTCGTTGCTTCCCAAGGCTTTGGAATCTGCAGTTGTATTAGATGTTCAGAACATAGCTTGTGGTGGAAGACATGCTTCCTTAGTGAGCAAACAAGGAGAGATATTTTCTTGGGGTGAGGAATTGGGAGGTAGGCTTGGTCATGGTGTAGATTCTGATGTTTTGCACCCAAAGTTAATAGATGCCCTTAGCAATACCAACATTGAGCTTGTTGCATGTGGTGAATATCATTCTTGTGCTGTCACACTTTCGGGTGATTTGTACACTTGGGGTGATGGGCATTTTGGAATTCTTGGGCATGGGAATGAAGTGAGTCATTGGGTGCCCAAAAGAGTTAATGGGCCATTGGAGGGGATTCACGTATCTTCAATTTCTTGTGGGCCTTGGCATACTGCCGTTGTGACATCCGCAGGGCAGTTGTTTACTTTTGGTGATGGAACTTTTGGAGTTCTTGGTCATGGAGATAGGGACAGTGTTTCAAAGCCTAGGGAAGTGGAATCCCTGAAGGGTCTCCGTACCGTAAGAGCAGCATGTGGTGTTTGGCATACTGCTGCAGTTGTTGAAGTTATGGTTGGAAGCTCAAGTTCCAGTAATTGTTCATCAGGCAAACTTTTTACATGGGGTGACGGTGATAAAGGTCGTCTTGGACATGGTGACAAGGAACCAAAACTTGTTCCAACATGTGTTGCTGCTCTAGTAGAACCAAATTTTTGTCGGGTTGCTTGTGGACATAGCCTGACAGTTGCTCTTACAACCTCTGGCCATGTATACACAATGGGCAGCCCTGTTTATGGGCAGCTAGGGAACCCTCAAGCTGATGGGAAGCTTCCTTCTCGTGTTGAAGGAAAACTTGTGAAGAGTTTTGTGGAGGAGATAGCTTGTGGTGCATATCATGTTGCTGTGTTGAGTTCGAGAACTGAAGTTTATACATGGGGTAAGGGAGCAAACGGTAGATTGGGTCATGGGGATGTAGATGACAGAAATTCTCCAACGCTAGTAGAAGCTTTAAAGGACAAGCAAGTCAAGAGTATTGCTTGTGGTACTAATTTCACTGCAGCTATCTGCCTTCACAAGTGGGTTTCAGGGGTTGATCAGTCTATGTGTTCTGGCTGCCGTCTACCATTCAATTTCAAAAGAAAACGCCACAATTGTTATAACTGTGGACTTGTCTTTTGTCATTCATGCAGCAACAAGAAGTCACTGAGGGCTTCTATGGCGCCAAATCCCAATAAACCGTACCGTGTTTGTGATAATTGTTTCAATAAATTGAAAAAGGCTATTGAAACTGACACTTCATCTCATTCATCTATAAGCAGACGAGGAAATATGAATCAGGGAACAAGTGATGTAGCAGACAAGGATGATAGCAGATCTCGTCCCCAGCTGACTAGGTTTTCTTCAATGGAATCCTTGAAACAAGGGGAGATCCGTTCCTCAAAGAAGAACAAAAAGTTGGAGTTCAATAGCAGTCGTGTTTCACCGATCCCAAATGGGAGCTCCCAATGGGGGGCATCCAAGTCTTTCAACCCGGTATTTGGATCGTCCAAAAAGTTTTTCTCAGCTTCGGTTCCTGGATCGAGAATTGTTTCTCGAGCCACATCACCAATATCAAGGCGGGCCAGCCCTCCTCGTTCTACTACACCAACTCCTACTTTGGGAGGACTTGCATCGCCTAAGCTTGTTATGGACGATGTGAAAATGACAAATGATGGGCTTAGCCAGGAAGTTATAAAATTAAGAGCACAGGTATCCCATTTTGTTTGATTACTCTAGCACTTGCATACAGTTTTATTTGTTTGTTTTTTTCTTTTTTTGGCTTTCTCCAATTAATTTACGATCAACAATTACCTTTTAGGGATTGCCTCATTCTCTCTACTTGTATTGAACAAGTATCTGAGGAGGGCACCTATACAAATTAACTGGGAGTTGAAGTTCTCTGTCTGTTTGTATTTTCTCACAATAGAAAATATGAAAGAGATAGAGGACTAACCATCCTCGTCAATTGCAACACCTTTCTGTTTGATGCCTATTTCGATAGTATATGGTTAATAGCATTCTGCAAATGTGACATTGTTCTATGTATGGTATTGGGGTTTCTGGGTTTGTGTTGTTACATTTTATTTTTGGCGCCGGTGGAGTCGATATCCATATCTTTGGTAGAATCTGAAGATGGCCTGCAGTAGTTATTTCCGTATAATGCTTGCAGAGTCATGGATTTAGTGGTTCCTTTCAACTCTCTTTCTTCTACGCAGCAGACATTTTTTTCATTTTGTTTCCCAAACATTTTTCCAAGAATATGGTTTGCAATGGATTTCATGTATTGCCTCAATCCAGATTTGTCCCATTGTTTTTCTTCCATTTTGAGGGGGGGAAGCATGCCGCTGTAGTTGATGCTTTATAACCGTACAGGAACTTGATGGCTTTATTTTATACAGGAGAAGGCTCTAAGTTGGATTTAAGTGCAGTTTAACTTAATCTGTGGTTACTGGATATTAGTGTATTCATGTCCCATGAGAGAGACCTCACAAGATTGTATTGACTGAAACCCTAATGCCTGATCACTTTTCTTGTACAGGTGGAAGGTCTTACTCGCAAGGCTCAACTTCAGGAAACAGAGCTAGAAAGAACAACTAAACAGCTGAAGGAGGCAATAGCAGTTGCAGGGGAAGAGAGTGCCAAATGCAAAGCGGCAAAAGAAGTTATTAAGTCGCTTACTGCACAAGTAAGGCGAATACTTCTGGCCATCCACTTTATGAATGGCGAATTTCGGGTTTACTTGCACGTGTTTTCTGGAAACAAAATTATCACTTACGTTTTAAACAATGCTAGTACAATGCACAGATTATCTTCTATAGAATGTGAGACTAGCTCATCTCAAGCCAATTTTATTCCAATCAGTCACTTCAACTTAATTGGCTTTGTCTTCATCCAACATAATAGACTTTGTTGGACAAGACAAGGTAGCCTGTTGGTAAGCACCTTGGACCTAGGACCTATTCGGTCAGCGGTTCGAGTCACCCGAAAGGGAATTAATAACTATCCTCCTTTAAAGAAAAAGAGAAGAAAAAATAATTTTGTGATGCCTTTTCTATTGATTGTGTGTCAACTTCAAGATGTAGAGCTTAAATAGTATCGAAAATGCAATAAGACGTATATTACAAGTAGAACTATGGTTTAAGTCATGGTATTATAAGTTTTCATCTGCAAAGGTGTTTTGCTGCACTATGCGGTGGCTTGTGCTACGCCATAATCACGTATCAGGTCAATTTTAAGTAACAAGATCTTACTACACAAGAACTTAATTCCTAGAATCCATATTGTAGAACACCGTTCGAGTATATTATCAGCTATGAGTGTTTCAGTAGTTGCAACCCAGCTTGATGATTTTTTTTTGCTTCTTGAAAGCTGTAACTAAAGTACTGGCGAGTTAGGATGGTGTCTCAAACAGCATATTTGAAAACATGAAAGCTAATACGTAAACCAAAAGAATGTATTCGGAGATCATTAATGAAATCGTTCTCTGTTTGCCTTTTTTAATCATCTTATGGTTTCACTCCCTATCAGTTCTTGTAGTGAGTAGTCGGTGTGGTTTTAGGTCAATACACTCTTACGAATGTTATAGATTATGTATTTTAATAGAAAGTCTAAACATCATATTGCCATTTAAACAAATGACTGCAGTTCAGGAAATTCCGTACCCTGAAATAATGAGTTACCATATCAACTGCTTAAGAAAATACGTCACATTGGTAGGATAGGAAGCAAATAATGCATTTAATTTCAGATTCTAAAATACATTTTCTGCTTTAAGATGTGAAATTTCATTTAAACTTGTACTATTTTTTTACATTGGCTATCTACAGTGTATTTACAAAATTTGCATTGATTAAGATGATTGTCATTGTTTCTTCCTCTTAAATTATGAATTGATTTGCTATATTCTACCGTAACTTCTAACCTAATCTCTTTGAGTTTCTTTTTATGCAAAATTTATTTTCTGAAATTTTTAACCTACAAATCGTAAGAAGTTTTGTGAATGGCTGGTAGTCAGTGTCTGTTTAAGTACTATATTATTCAATTTGCTTCCTTTCTCTTCCACTGAATATTCTAGGATAAAAAGGCTTTTATTTCACTTAGGTTGTCAGTTCTTTAAAAAAAAAGGTTAAAGGGTTTAGAGACCAGCCTGCTCTGCCGATTGCATTAGTTTTATATCTCCTTCTGATATAGCTTATACTGATGATGATATATTTTCTGATTGTAGCTGAAGGAAATGGCTGAAAGGCTTCCTGTGGGTTCCGCTAGAAACATCAAATCTCCGCCCTTCACTCCTCTTAGTCCCCCTCTGTTGAATGATGTTTCAAATGTCTCGATTGATCTGCCAAATGGTCAAATAAATGGCCAGGAACTGCAACCGTACGAATCAAACAACCTGTTATCTAATGGATCCAGCACAGCAAGTAACCGCAGTTCGGTTCAAAGCAGACAAGGTAGTCAAACGGAAGCAGTGATGAGAAATGGTAATAGAACAAAAGAAAGCGATTCTCGCAATGAAACTGAATGGGTTGAGCAAGACGAGCCTGGTGTTTATATTACTCTTACCTCCCTAGCCGGAGGGCTCAAAGATTTGAAGCGAGTTCGTTTCAGGTATGTTCCGAGGATTAATTTTTTTTAGATATAACTACATATTGCAGTTTTTTACCCTGCGATGCTTGATACAATAGCAATGACATCCATAAATATAGTGATTGATGCCATTTGTGTGTACCCTAATCACAATCAATGATCCCCAGGCCCATTATGGCCGTGAATTATTCTTTCTGCCGCTTGTTTTTAATCTTATATTATCAACACGTGAAACTTAACTTGTTGGTGTCAATTACAATTCGTGATGTAATTTCATTGGCCATTGCAGTGCTATAACTGTAAACACTAGTTTTCGTTTTTGTTTTTTTTGAGCTGTCATACTGCTCTTTTTTTTGAAAGAGAACTAGATATATGTGTGTGTGTATATGTATATGCATGTTTATGTTTGGAAATTGAAGATGTTTGGAAATGATTGAATGCAGTCGGAAGCGATTTAGCGAGAAGCAAGCAGAACAATGGTGGGCAGAGAACCGGGCAAGAGTATACCAAGTGTACAACATACGAATGGTGGACAAGTCGAGTGTTGGTGTTGGGAGCAAAGACTTAGGCTGACTGACGTATGGATGTACGTATATATGATATCTGCGGTTTTTTGCTTTACCCCCAAATAGATTTCTGCTTCAGTCACTGGAAATATGAGATTAATTAGGTTGGCATATCATGTTCGGAAGCCTGAGTTTGCCATATGAAGAGAGACTAGAGAACCCAGAGTTTTTCTTCCGGGATTTCTAAGTCTTTTTTTTTTTTTTTTGGTTTTTAACCTTCGGTTATTCTTATGGATTGATTATGCATTTTTCACGTTTTTGCCCCTTACGATGCGCCCTTGTGGAAGGGGGGTTGAGGGTGAGGAATGTAAATTCATGCTAGGATGCTGGCTCTAGTTGTGAGCAGCTTTCTATGTAAATTCCATAAGCAAAGTCCATCTTCGACTTAACGCTTTTTGTTCTAAATTTTCTGTTTGAGTTTCCGTTGCTCCTGCTTTGATTTGTATGTATATATACGTAACAGAAGATGGTAGTATGGTATATATCAGCAGCTATTTCATTGACTTGTTCAGAAATTAATTCAACTCTTAAACGTCGTAAACTTACTTTACTCTTATTGCTTTTTAGATTCATTTATTCATTTCTTGATTTAAAATCTGCACGGAGACCCTTGATCGAAATCGCGCAAGCTACACTTAGTGCGGCCTTCTGATTATGAAGTAAATCAATTTCCATCATGTTCTATTCAATGCATATTTCGATATTATATAAAGAGCACAAGAATTTTCCGTCGGAGCACCAAGAAAATTTTATGCATCTATGTATGTATGTATGTTATTATCTAACAATCATAGTATATCACACAGATATTAAGAGTAAACGGGGCTTAAAGGAAAGATTTACGACACTGTTTTTTGTATTAACCAATTATACTGGGCAAAACATGTCCCGACTATAAACATCACCAATAATCCCGACAGGTGCAAGCTCCATCCTTAAAATGATGGAATCTCCTCACATCCCTCACAACAATCTCCCTATCCACGATTCGGGAGATGAATTTTGTGGCAGAATGGCAGTCGTTACAAACCCTAAGATTCTTGGCCACCCGAATAGGCGTGCCCGGAGGGGTATTAAGCAGACCAAACGCAATTGCCAATCGTTCGCTGTGTCCGCACAGCAAGTTCTCCTTTTCTTGCTCGTCAACATTGTGAAGAACACATGACGTGTCCGCCACATAGCCTTCCCTCTTCATTCTGCCAAATAAATCATTCAGATACCCGTAAAGCTGCTCGCTTTGGGGATGCGATGTGTCACCAGCCAAGAACTTGTGGACCTTTTCACCTGACTCGATCCAACTGCATCCAGGCTCTTTCCTAACCCCCGTTTCTTTCATATTCTTCCGCACCTTGTTAGCTTTTTCCCAGAGCCCGGCTGAAGAATATATATTGGAAAGTAGAACATAATGGCTAGCAACATTCGGTTCCAACTCGAGCAGTTTCATGGCTGAAATTTCCCCAAGCTGTACATTTTGGTGGACCCTACAAGCACCCAACAAACTACTCCACGCCCCTACCTTATCGAGGCCACTAGGCATGGAATCGATGATTTCACATGCTTCATCCAGTCGACCTGCTCGACCAAGCAAGTCAACAACACACGCGTAATGATCGCCGTTCGGTTCGAGTCCGTGTTCGTTTTTCATTCTGTGGAACAACTCCCGCCCTTTGTCAACCATCCCGGAATGACTGCACGCCGCAAATACAGAAATAAAAGTAACCCCGTTTGGCTTTACTTCAGCCACCATATTCTCAAAGAGTGTCAGCGCCTCCTCTCCTTCTCCATGCATCCCGTAAGCCATGATGATAACGTTCCATGTTATTACGTTTCTAATTGGCATCCTATCGAAAACTCTCCGAGCCATATACAAGCAACCGCACTTTGCGTACATATCAACCAACGCACTTCCAACGGCAACATCCGACTCCAGTCCATTCCTAATGGCATAATTATGAATCTCTTTTCCTTTCGTTAGAGCTGCTAACGCAGCGCAGCCAGGAAGGACAGTCATGAGTGTTACTGAATTAGGTTTAAACGAGACCTCAATTTTGCCGTCAAACCTATCCTCTTCTGCACCTTTCCCTCCAGCGATTTGCATTTCATGTAGCAAAACTAGAGCATCTTCGTGGTAACCACAGACCACACAACCAGTTATCATTGTATTCCAAGACACCATATCTTTGCTCTCCATATCGTGAAACATATATTTCGTGTTATCTATTTTTCCTATCCTAGAGTACAAGTCCATCAATGCATTTTGTACATATCTATCCTTCCCGAGACCCAACTTCAAAACATAGCCGTGCATAGCCTCTTTATCCGCAAAAGCTTTACAGTGCACGCACGCCGGCAAAACACTAGCCATTGTTGTTGGGTTAGGAAGAAGACCCAGGACGGTCATCAAGTTCATGAATAACAGCACTGCTTCCGTATAAAACCCGTTTTGCGTATAACCAGTAAGCATAGCATTCCAGAGTGCAAGCCTCCTGTCGACTGCAGTATCGAAAACTCTCCGCCCACTAACAACTTGCTTACAGTTGCAATACATGTCTACTAAAGCGCTGGCCACATACGAATTCCTCAATAAATCACCATTCCTGAATACATAAGCATGGATCTCTTTTCCAGCGTCGATTAACTCCAAATGGGAACACGCAGGAAGCACACTCGAAATTGTGACCCCGTCAGGCTTAAGTCCTTCATCTACCATAAAGCTGAAATACTCAAGTGCCTCGTTGAACCTATCGTTTTGCGAAAATGCACTGATGACGGTGTTCCAAGAAACCATGTCGTTGTTACCGAAAGACTCGAATACGACCTTAGCATCTTCGATTCTCCCCAATTTCGCATACATTGCCATCAAAGAATTGTTCGTAAAAGTTTTCATATCATCAACTCTCAGACTATACCCATGAACTTGCCTTCCAAGCCTTAACCCATCATGCCTATTCAAGTTACTACACGCAAGAGCTACGCTAACCAGAGTAAACGAACTAGGCTCGATTCTCTCCAATCCCATCAAACGAAACGCCTCTAAAGCCAACTCCCATTCTTGGAATTTACATAAAGCATTAATCATGGAGTTCCAAGAAACTTGGTCCCTTTGGGGAATTCTGTCGAACACCTTGAAGACCTGGCGGACATCATCCCCACATCGGGCATACATATGCAGCAGTGTATTAGAAACGGTAACCGAGTGAGAATCATAGCCGAGTTTAACAACAGATGCATGAATCTGCTTCCCCAAATCCAAATCTTGAAGGGCGGTGGTGGCCTTCAAGACTGCCGGGAAAGCGAAATTATCGGGTACAACGCCGGAAGCCTGCATCTGAATGAAAGTGGCGATGGCTTCTTGGAAGGAGTTCGCCCGAGCCTGGGAGCGAAGTGAGTCGATCCATAACTGTTTGGAGCGGGTCCCGGAAGAAGAAGGTTCGGATGGAGTTACAACGATGGAGTTGTGGGTTTGGAGGGAACTAGGAACGGAGAACGGCGGAGGAAGAGGGAGAGAGACTGAAGGAGAAGATGTCCACGGTGGCATTGGTTGGTTAGAGAATTATCTGCAAGTTCTCTAAGCTCAAATTATTTCATATATGAATCCTTGAATACTTCTGTAAACTTTCATATATTAATTCGCTTAATTACACTTTGCACCCTTGAAATGTCGTATTTTCAGCACTTTGCATTTTTTTAAAAAAATAATAGCACTTTACACCCACAAAACACAATAAATGTTTATAATGCTTTCAAAATTTAATGAGGGTAATTTTTTTTATTTTCGAGGTGTAAAATAATAAATTAAATTATTATTTTTTCCCACCCAACATAATTCCGAGCGTACATAATGAGAAAACACAAAAAGGACAACAAAAAATTAATTCTCACTAAATTATTTGATTGATGGATTTTTTTGTTGCAATTAATGAAAATATTTAGTAGAAATCCTTGGAAAAAATATAATTTTCAAATAACTTGATACCAAAGTATCTGAAGAATATTTTTTGTTCTTTTCTTTTTGTAAAATATTGTTTTTTTTTTTTTTTGAAATAAAGTTAATTTAATATGTTGATGAGATGTATTTTTAGTTTAGCACTATATAATTTTGAAATGATTGATGAATAAAAAAAATGCTGGACATCTGGCATCCTAAAAAATACTACTAAAAATATTAAATTACTTTCATTAGCTTTAAAAAATCATTTGGGGTGCATTATGAATGATTTATTGTGTTTCGAAGAAGCAAAATAATATATTTTTTTCGAGGGTACAAAGTGTTACTATATTTTAAGAGTGCAAAGTGGAATTAAGCCTGTACTAATTGCAATAAGCTATGTATAAGTTTATTGTACTCCGTATGTCAAATTGCTTTATCAGACACAAAAAAATAAAAAAAATCCTATAATTCATATTTTTAGAACACAACCCCCCTAAACGGGGTACTAATTGCTAAAAAATATAAATCATGCGTGTAAATATTTGAGATTGGATTTCATTGGTAGGCCATAATTCAACTTTTTATCATGTTTAATGGGCTCAAAATTAGGTCAAAGTCTCAAGAGTAGGTATAAGTTATAAATACTTCATATTCTCCACCATAGAAGGTACGCTTTATTTACACACATTACACACTCCTACACAAACAAAAATACACGATCAAATCACAGATCTCACATGGTCTTCTTCTCTATTTCGTTTTCCTATTATTTTACTCTTTCTTGAACTATTTCCCCAATTAACTTGAGCGTCGAAGGGTCTCCCCGGGACTCAAGCCCCGAGATTTTAGGTGAACGGAGCAATTTTACGACGATGTAGATCGGGGAAGGTGTTCAAGAAGAACCAATGTTGATAGTGATTAAATCGACCTCCATCAGGAGGGTTTCGTCAATAAGTTAACATATGTAGATTTTTTTAGCAATTCAATATAACAGATGTGTACTAATTGCAATAAAGTTTTATAAGACAAAAGAAAAGGTCCATTAAAGAACAAATAACCAAATTACAAAGCCAAAAGAGATGCAAATCTTTACAGTATCATCACCAAATGACAAAAGGACACAACATATATAGATATAGATATAGATATAGATAGATACACAAATTCAAATCCTTGAAGGAATCAAAGGAGTGGTGTTCTGTAAGAAAGCAGATGCCGCCGCGACTCCGCTCCCAAGCGTCACCGGATAACCGACGTCTTTCAGCACCATCTCCACTCCAGCAAGGCACCCCAGTAGTTGCAACTGCACCAAAAAAAATGTTTATTTCAATGTTTTTTTTCGTTTTGAACAAAAAATAAAGAATTCCTTCAAAAAAAAAATCGATTCAGAATAAATAATAATACAGTAGAACCTCGATAAATTAATAATCTCGATAAAATAATAGTTTCTCTCAATCTGGACTTGGTGAAAAAGTGTTAAATTATTAACTCAAAAATTTAATTAATTCGCTAAATTAATAGAATTTCCCTAAGTCCCGACTGTATTAATTTATAGGGGTTTAACTGTAGTTGGAAATTAATTATTACCTCGTTGAGGTTGCCAAGGTGGCCTATTCTGAAAACTTTGCCAGCAACCTTGTTGAGGCCAAGGCCTAAGCTCAAGTTGTAACGCTTCCACGCCCTTCTAACGATTTCCGCGCTGTCTATGTACGACGGTACAATGACAGCTGTCACCGTGTCGCTGAACCATTCCTCCTTCTGCGTGCAGTTCTTCAATCCCCATGCGTCCACCGCAAGTCTGCATTTTTATTTTTATTTTGAGATAGAAAAATCAATTCGGTTCGTGCAAATAATAAGACAATGAATCGAGTTTATTGCAATGGGTACTCCTGTGTTATGTTGAATCGTTACAAAACTCCTCGTGTTATAAATATTAGCAAAAAAATCCTTATAGTGAATTTGTTTTAGCACACAATCCCTAAATGGTGTGTTTTTATGGGTAGTTTGTTAATAAAATTGAATCATAGGGGTGAATTTGCTAATATTTAGGAGAGTTTTTTGAGAATTAGAATAAGCACAGGGGTACGAAGTGCAATAAAACTCGAACAATGAATGTTTGATAGAGCAAGTCTAGTGGCGGATGCAGTATAGGGTCATGAGGGGCCATGGCCCCCCACTACTTCTCAAGAACCTTCTATATTATAAATAGATATTATTTTTTAGTGTATATATTTGATTTGGGCCGACGTGAATGTATAGAAACGGGCTTACCTTGTTGCTTTGGCGAGGCGAGTGTGCCTTGCGATGACATTATCGAGGCCTTCCTCGAAGAGGAGATCCAAAGCGGCTCTAAGACCGTAGAGAAGCTGAATGGAAGGTGTGTATGGCCAATAACTGCCCAATTTGTAGAACTTCAAGTAATCGTTCCAATCGAAGAAAACTCGAACCGATGTTGCAGTCTTGGAGGCCTCGAGAGCCTTGGGGCTCGCGCACACAATCCCCATTCCGGTGGGAAGAGAAAGTGCCTTCTGCGAACCGGTAAGAGCCACATCTATTCCCCACTCGTCCATGCGGAAATCGAGCGCGCAAATCGAGGACACTCCGTCGACGAGGAAGAGCGCCGGGTGCTGATAATGATCTAACACACAATCCCACATAGAAAAATTGAATTCAACATCTTATAGTTTAAATCACATTGCACGTTAGATTGACAAGGTACGTACTTACTCAAACTCATTACAAAAGTTAAAGCCTGCGATTAAAGGCTACTATTTCATTAAGTTAGTAGCACCCCTTCCCCGATTAATTTTGTAGGGAGTCACTAAATAAAGAAAAAAACTATTTTATCCTTAAAACTACATTTTTTTTTTTGGACAAGTCGTATATAATATCAGAATTTAACAAATTTAACACAAGATTTAATTTAAAGAACTAAACATCTTACTAATTATTTTAAATAATCAGTTAGTCACTAGGGAATTAGTCCAATCTTATCTAATCCAAAATAATGCGCTATTAGTAATCGAACGATGCCTAAATAAATTTCAAATCCTTAGCTCTCGTTTTAAGTTATTTTTTGAGTCATTGATTTGAAATCATCCTCCAAATCCTCTCCTCAAAACCGAAATCCATCAATCCAAACGCGCCCTAAGATTTCACACACACAAACAAAAGAGGAAATGCTACGTATGCTTACCGAGTATTTTTCTTACGGTGGCCAAGTTGTTGGTAACTCCAGTAGCAGTCTCGTTGTGGACAATGCAGACGGCCTTAATGGTGTGAGCTGTATCTTCTGCTATTTTCGACGCCAAAGCGTCCAGGTCAGCACCCGCGCCCCAGTCGCTCTCCACAACATCCACGTTGAATTTCAGGCGCTGCTGCTGATCGATCCACAGCAAACTAAACTGACCAATCAGGAACGAGACAGTTCTATCACCGGGCGACAGTGTGTTCGTCAGCGCACTTTCCCATGCACCGGTTCCTGTCCCAATTAGACAACTCGCTCTTAATCACCAAATTTAGCGATTAATTAATTACTAGATTGAATACAGAGAAAAAATGGCCGTACGATGATAAATTGATAACCACACACACATGATTTATGATTATGTTAGTTAACAAAAGTGTTACACTGATAAGCAAGAGCACTTTTAACATATGCAAAAATTGCAAATTAGTAGAGTGGCATATGCATAAAGCTTCTTTGAGTTGTTTGCAAAAGCTTTTGGAAAGTGATTATCATTTTTTTTTTGGCTTAAAATCAGTTTTTCTTTTTTATGTTTGCAACACTAGCTTTTACTTCTGCTTCTTTAAAAGTAAGCAGTTTTAAGGTGGTGTTTGCATAAGGTTTTACAAACAGATTATGAGCTTTTTTCGTGCTCATAATCTTTTTTTAAATGTTTAAAAAATGAACTTTTATATTTGCTTCTCTTAAAATAAGCGCACCCATGACCCTACTATTTCTATTTAAGTTGATTTTCCAGCAAATTTGCAAACACCCTCAACTTTTAGAAATAAACACATAAAATGAACTTAAATCACAATCCAAACTTCTAATTTTAAATATGATTTTGCAAACACCACCTAAGTCATGATCTTCTGAGAAACACTGCTTCTCTGATTTAAAAGCACTTATGTTTAACTAAAAAAGGTCATGTGACATGTTCACTCTTATATTCCTTATCTGAATTCCAATTTATTGGATATTAATCGATACATCTCACTAACAACTTAAACTTTTGGTTGAGATAGTCATTCAACACCCACCAAAATAAGCTAAAAATTAAAGTTTATGTGCAAACACTATTATAACTTGTCCAATAGTGACTCAAAGTTGATTTTTCGCAGTATTTGCTGACACCCCAACTAGTAGAAATAAACAGTTATAATGAACTTAACTCAGAATCACTAACGGTTTTGACTTATGTAAAAGGTTTTGCGAAAACCAGCTAAGTACCTGTGGTTGGAATGAGGAAGGGAGTTCCAGAGGTGGTCTTAAAGATCTTCTTGACATCCTCGAGAAGGTTTTTGGTGAGGGCTGAAT